AAGCTCGCTGCCCAGAGCCAAGTCCAGAATCAAGCCGGCCATCTCCATGGTGCCAATTACCAGCAAGTGTCTTCCCTGCGGCACCGGGTTCAGGCAGCTACTCCTGCCCCAGAGCTGATGGGGCAGTTTGCAAGGATCCGGAGCCAGCTCCTGGGGGCCCAGAGCTCCCCACTTGAAGGGGAGTGTGGGTCTCCCTCTGCCTGCCCGTGGAAGGAGCTTTGCCGCAGCCTGTCTGAGTCCATCCATCCATCCCCTCCTGCCTGCCCCTCTGCTGTAAGCTCTAGGAGTTGGGGGCCAGCAGAGACAAGGGAGAGGAGGAGGTGCCTGAGGCCTGGCACAGATTCCCCAGGGGTCCTTGCTCCATGGGATTGCAGCAAGCTGCTCTGGAGCTCTTGGTGGACTGGAAAGGACATTGTCATCTGTGATGTGATGGAGGGCTGTGGGGACCTGAGTTTCCGGAGCCTGCACACAGGCTTCTCTCCTGTGTAGGGGTAGTGGGAGCCGAGCTTTGAAGAAAGCTGGAATTAAGTCTAGTGGCACCAAGGTAAGGGTTTCCCAAACAGGAGAACCCCTCCTTGTTGGATGAGATCAAAGGTCACCTTGTTATCCCTCTGCCTCTGGTCTAGAGTCTTGGGGAGGCATTAGAGCCCCTCCCATTTTAGTCTTTTTAAATAAACCATCCTGTACGAAGGGCAGAAGCCACTGCCCCGGTCTCATCACCATGGCTCAAGGAGGTACAACTGGAGGGATGCTGAGCTATGAGTATAAGCGCTAGAGACTCTGACGAGGCCTGGGTAGCTGCCTTCCTGTGGCCCTCCCTAGGGCCTGCAGGAGCCCTTTTGCATGCGAGGGAGGACACAGTCTGGCCCCTATAGAAGCACATTTCTATCTCTGTCCTGGGAGCCACCCAGCAACCTGCCACTCCTCTTCACCTAGTCCCTGCTGTGTAGGGTGTAGTCCAGGTTAGCTGGGTAGTTAGTGTTCACGCCTGAGGCCTGTTCTTAGCTCAGATGTAGTCTTTTTTTCAAGCCCCAGGCTGGGGGTAGAGGGGAGACCCCAGTACATTCCAGAAGATTGCAGCCTCTCTCCAGCCTGGGCAGGGTGGGCTGCCTGGCTCCCCAAAGGCTGGCCCTTCCACCGTCTCCTCCCTGCCTTCCTCTTTCCTTCCTCATAGAGTTGTAGCTCTAACTGTCCCTTTTACGCAGCATTCTGGGGAAATACCCTTGGTATTGATTTGCTTTAGGATGCACTCCTGAGGATTACTGGGCCTTGTAGAGGGGCCTGGACTCCATTAGAGGGCGTCATTTTTCACTGAGGATGTCAAGGGTCTGTTGACTCCCACCTTGTTCCTGGTTCTTCTACCAGGGATTCCTTCCACTTGGGAATTCTCCCCATTCCCAGCCTGGCTTAGCTATGAGCACCCTTTAGGATTCTGACCCAGTTCTGTCACCTCCACATGGAGCTGTTGACCCTGCACAGGGAAGGGGCTGGACATAGGCCCCTCTTCTCAAATTGGTCTTCAGAGTGTCCTTGGAACTGTGGAGGGGCAGGCCCTCAGGACAAGGGAACAGGGCTCTGGATGGGGTCCCATTTGAGGCCCTCAGTTAGCCGTCACCCCATTTTTTTCCAGCCAGTGTGATATCTCTGCAGTTAGGCTGTTACTCACCGTTTGGAATATTTTGAGCCAGTAGAGAATCTTCTCTCCCCAGCTGTCACTGCTGTGGTTGTTCAGGGTGGGACAGAGCCTGGCTGTCACAACCAGAGGAGGAGGGGCTCAGCTCTGATTTGTCTGAGAGAGAGAAAGAGAGAGAGAGAGGGAGGGAGGGAGGGAGAGCATGCAGGAAGGAGAGAGAGAGAGAGAGAGAGAGAGAGAGAGAGAGAGAGAGAGAGAGAGAGAGAGAGAGAGAGAGAGAGAGAGAGAGAATGCAGGAGCACTGACTCCAAAGCAATAACAACACCCTGGGGTGGTCGGTGAGGCCCCCTCAGTGATTTTCTTGTTTGTTCTGTGAAATCTCACTCACCTCCTGGAGGGGTGGAGTGGGGGGCTGGAGCCCCATTTCTTTGTATCATTGTAAGCGTAAGCGTGTGCCCCACTTCCAAGGGGCTGTGACCACTAGGTATGGGAACCACATCTGTCCTCACCAAGGACTGGACAGGGCTTAGGGAGGGAAGGGATTTTCATCATTAGCTTTGGGGACGATCAAGCCCGGCCTGTCCCCACTGCTATCTGATCCTCTGTCATCTCAAACTCTACCATCTGGAGAGGAGTAAGAGGGTGGAGTTGGGGAGGGCCTTTCTGGTGCTGGGTCTCTAGGGGTGTTTCTTTTTTTTTCCTCTGGACAGAGGCCATGTATAGGACAGCCATGTAAAGGGTCATCTCCATTTTCCTTTCCCAGAATGCCTCTGCATTCTGAAAGGCAGAGCCTGTGGATCTTTAGTCCATTTGCATTTTGAAAAAAAAAAAAAAAAGGTACCAAGTCCCTGCCTGAGGAGAGCCATCCTGGGGTCATTGGTATGCCCAGTGACACTTCCACCTAGACCTCCTCTTCATTCACAGTCATGCTGAGCTGGGGCCAGGGCAGGATGAAGGGGGGGCTGCCTGGTCTCTTCCTTTCTACTCCTTTTCTTTGGAGCCCCCTAATGGCTCCAAATTATGGCCAGACAAGTGGTAGCCAATCTGAGAGGTTAGGAAACCCAGGCCCCAGCAGGAAGTCATTTGGCTAAGGCCTCTCATCAATATGCATGGGCGGGGGGCAGAGCTGGGAGCTTCCGCAGGGAGACTGGGCGCTCAGACACAGGTCTGCCGCCATCATCATTTCCAGCTTTTAGCACAGGTGACACTGCCCTGCTTGACTCTCTCTCTCTCTCTTCTGGGCCAGTGCCTTTTCTAGGCTTGAGTTGGGAGAAGAGGAGGCACCAGGGTGGCCAAGATCTCCTGAGCGATCTCCCCAGTGATCAGGAGCTAAAGGATTTGCTCTAGGCCTTTTGTTCTGGGTCCTAACCTCTCCAGGTCCAGCCGGGAGTGGGTGGAAAACACGAGCTCCCACCTGGGTTTATAGAGTGGGGGCTCCAGGAAGTCCTCACCTTCAGAAGGGATAGCACTGCTTCCCATAGCACTTCCTACAACGTGTCCCCAGTGATTCTACTCTGACCCTCATATGAGCTCCAATAGCAAGTCAAGAGAGGCTTATATTGTCAGCCCCATCTTCAGGAGGGAGAGCTGGAGGTCCCGAGAGAGGGGCTTGCCGAAGTGCCAGCTTTGACAGTGGCTGAGCTCCAGCTCATTCCCCAGGGGTCCACAGCACAGGCATGCAAGCACACAAGCACACAGTTAAGCGATTCACCACTGGATTCCTTAAGGCAGGAGATTCTGGAGTACTTTGAGGTTCAGAAACAGCACAGCACCCCATACTCTCCCAAGGCAGAGCTGTTGCACCAGGCAAGGTCACCTGCATTTATTTATTGAGCAACAGCGCTACACCGGGCCCAGAGTCTTGGACCCCCTTCCCATCCCTTTCAATGGCTCTCTTGGCCCTGCAGGAGGGCCTGTGTCTGTATAACAGGACCTTGGTGGATGGAGCGTTCCCACAAGCTTATCTGACAAGCCCCAAGGGTTTTTCATCTCAATAGGAGAGCCTGTGTGGGTTGGGTAGAGGCTAGAAGCAGACATAGGTGTTACCTCTGAGCCCTTGGTGTCCTCCAGGAAGGTGGCAGGAAGGTGGGACTCCAGCATCTTTGGGCTGGGAGCCTCCCTCCATCTACACACCTTTCCCTGTGCCCTCTTGGGGAGCAGGAGCATCCTGGTCCTTCAGGAAGGGAGGGTTTGGGGGGTCTTTGAGTTGGAGTGGGTCACATTGCATTGTGTTCATGACCACATAGCTCATGTTGGAAATTAAAGTTTTTGGCTTTTCTACCCTGGCTTTGCTCTTGTTTTACATCGAGACAATTCTATCTGAGAAGATAAGGGGCACGTGTTTTCAGGGCTGAGTGCTCTAGGATGCCAAGGTGCCTCGACATGGGCTTGTTAATGCCCTCTATGGGTGCCCATGTGAAGCAGAGTTTGCAAATGAGCTCGGGTTTACTGATGGAGAAGCTGAGGGCCAGGAAAGTGAAGTGAAATCCCAATGGCATGTTGCTGGTGATTGGTGCGACTCAGAAATTTGTTCCACACCACTGAGCTGCGTATATAGGTAATGATGGGGGGGGGCATCACCTTTATCCAAAGGGGGCTAGCCAGGGACAAGGCTCTGCTTGACAGTGGAGGCAACCATTTACACACAGGCTAATTTTCACCCTTCATGCCGAGCAAAGGGAATGCCGTCTATATCGTGCAGAAATTGCCCACTGTGAGCCATAAACTACCTTCAGCCTGCCTCTATCTGATACTTCTAGCGTGAGCATCCAGTCTCGGGAGGAGAATTCTAGTGTTTAAAATTATGCCTCCCCCCGCAAGGTATCTTGTGTCCTCTTCAGAGCAGAAGCTAGCCATCCTTTGAGGGGGTGACCTAGTGTCACCCCTCCTAGGGGCTGAAGGCCACATTTTCCTACAAGATTAGACTAAACAGTTTACACTTCCAGGGTGACTGTAGAATAGGCTTGTGCCTTTAGTGCAGCAGTCATGTATTTCTAGAAGGGATGATCCACAGATGGTCACGGGAGCCTCAACCCCCTCCAAGCCTGAGGAAAGGTGGGTTTGCTAACAGACGGGGCTAGACATTGGCCAGGCCTGACCCGGGTGGGTAAGACTGTCAGATGGACTTCCTCCGTGTTCGGCGTCTATCTGGGCTGCTGTGACAGTGAGGCAGGGCTTCTGGACTCAAGGGAGGCGAGAAGGCCGGGTTGTCACGTGCCCAGGTCTCCAGCTGATGGATGCCATGAGAGATGCAGGTGGAGGCCGCCCCACCGATGCGGCTCTCGAGCGCCCCCTTGCGAAATGCGCTGGCGCGGTGGGCTGAGCGCTCAGGGGCGTCAGCGCTAGCGAGGAATCGCAGGACCACCAGGTTGAGGAAGGCACCAATGACTGTGAGCCCCAGCAGGATGTAGAGGAAGCTGAAGGCCACGTAGGGTGGCTTCCTCTGCAGCGCCTCGTCTCTCTGCAGCGCCACGAAGTCGCCGAAGCCGATAGTGGTGAGGGTGATGAAGCAGTAGTAGTAGGCGTGGAAGAAGGTCCAGCCCTCGAAGTGCGCAAAGGCAGCAGCGCCGAGGGCCAGGGTGGCTGCGCACAGCAGCAGCCCGGCCACTACCATGTTCTCTGCGGACACGTGCGGCCGCTGCAGACCCAGGCAGCGCTTGGCAGTCAGCAGCAGACATCTCACCAGCGCGTTTAGACGCTCGCCCAGACTCTGGAAGGTGACCAGTGTCAGCGGGATGCCCAGGAGTGCATAGAACATGCAGAAGACCTTACCCGAGTCTGTGCCTGGCGCAGCATGGCCATACCCTGTGTGGGGAGAGGGATGAGGTACTGAGAGCCCAGCCTAAACCAAGGCGCTCCCACCCCAGGGCCTGCCTGTCCCCAGCAGCTCCAAGCCCTACTTAGGTCGTCCCCATACTCTAAACCCCTGTGTGGTCACCCCCCACCCCCATCCCAGGAGGTAGATAATCGACCTGTGGTCCTTCAGAACCACAGAATTTTGATGGGGCATTTTCTGTTCTCAGCGGTACTGAAGGATGGAGGAAGCCCAGCCCCGAAGCATGGACCCAGTTGATAGGATGCTCTGAAGAGACAGAACAGCCCTGTGGCTGACTGCCCTAGGGTTGAAGGACTACACAAGGACATAAAGAGTTTGGGCACTACGGGGAGGCGGGGAGCATGCATTTGATAGGTGCTCTGATAACCCACGGTGTACAGAAAATCTGAATTATAGCAAATTATGCTTTAGTTGGAAGGGACAGGAAACACATCTTTTGTGGCTTCCTAGTATCTACAGAGCAAAGTCCCAGTTCTCCGAAGGAACGCCCAGTTCCCCCAACTTCCAGACCTCACCCCTCCACTCACCTCCTTCCTCCCAGCCTCATCCCTCTCTGCTCACTATCCCTACTCCCCAGCCTCACCCTCCTCTCCACTCCCCAGCCTCACCCTCCTCTCCACTCCCCAGCCTCACCCCTCCTCTCCACTCCCCAGCCTCACCCTCCTCTCCACTCCCCAGACTCACCCCTCCTCTCCACTCCCCAGACTCCCCCCTCCTCTCCACTCCCCAGCCTCCCCCCTCCTCTCCACTCCCCAGACTCACCCCTCCTCTCCACTCCCCAGACTCACCCCTCCTCTCCACTCCCCAGACTCCCCCCTCCTCCCCCCTCCCCAGACTCCCCCCTCCTCCCCCCTCCCCAGACTCCCCCCTCCTCCCCCCTCCCCAGACTCCCCCCTCCTCCCCCCTCCCCAGACTCCCCCCTCCTCCCCATTCCCCAGACTCACCCCTCCTCTCCACTCCCCAACTCACCCCTCCTCTCTGCTCCCCAGCCTCACCTCTCCTCTCACCTTCCCACTCCTCAGCCTCACCCCTCCTCCAAAAATTCCCAGTCTCCATACTCACCCCCTTCACGCCCAAACTCTCTAGTTACACCCTGTTGTTTCCCTACTAAAAAGTTATTTCTAAATAACTTTTTTTTAAAAAAAAAGTCACTTCCTTCATGTTTTCCTCCCCCTTGGACTGCCTTCTCTCCCCTTCCCAGCCGCCTGCTCCCTTCAAATCCCTCCTCACCTCCTGCCACTCTGTTGGCCTTTACCAAACACCAACTGGTTCTGGGAGACTCTGGTTCCCTAATGGGATCTGAGCATGCGTGGGCTTCCTTGAGTCACAGCTCCCCATGCCACTGTTGTGCAATGTGTGGATGAGTCTCTTTCCGGGGAGAGCAACAGTAGCTTACATGGGTCAGGCGTTGGTGGCACACGCCTTTAATCCCAGCACTGGGGAGGCAGAGGCAGGTGGATCTCTGTGAGTTTGAGGCCAGCCTGGTCTCCAGAGTAAGTTCCAGGACAACCTCTGAAGCAATACAGAGAAACCGTGTCGAAAAAAAGAAAAACCAAAAACAAAAAAACAATAGCTTACATGGGCTTATAACCAGGGAGAAGTGAGGGGATCCATCTCCCAAAGAGAATATCTCTCCTCCAGCAGACTGACTCTGTCTACCCAAAGGTAAAGCATACAGACCTCTAGACCTGTGCAGTTCTACACAATTAACTCTCCAGTATGTACAAATGTGCAAAATGGTGTGCACACATGGGCGGCCACTGTGGTCATAACAAAAGTTAGAGCCAGGCACACATCCATCAATAAGGGCCTGCTGAGGTCTGTCTCAGCACGGTAGGATACTACACCAAACCACAGTGGCCACATCACCATGCAGACATCTGGCAACTCTAAGGAAGCTCCTGGTTGTCTCTACTAGGGGACAGGAATGGGGTAGCTGTGTGTTGCTGGCATCCAGAGGAAGAGGATGAGGATACTACCAACATTTTACAGTGCACAGGGCAGGCCCCCAAAACAGAATTAACTAGGGCAAGATGTCAGTACTTCCAAGGTTAAGAAGTCCTGCTATTTACCCTGAAAAAATGGTGTGGCTCTTTAGGGTTAATATAAAAAAATAAGATATTCTAAATCAGGGCCTGGGATATAGCTCAGTTGATAGCGTGCTTGACTAGCATGCCTGATGTCCCAGGTTCAATTCCTGGTACCACATAAAAGACAAGTATGGTGTCACACACCTGTAAATCCCATCACTTGAAAGGCTGAGGCAGGAAGACCGGACGTTCTCTGTCATTAACAAATACATAGTGATTTGGAAGGCAGTCTGGGCTACGTGAGGAACTGCCTCAAAAAAAAAACAAAGGTGTACTAAATGAAAAGAGCAGGGATAGGCAGAATAGTATATATATTAGCCATGCAGTGTGTGTGGTTCTTGAAGGAACATTTACACAGAGCGTGTAACTGAAGTATGGGAGAGACAGCTAGGATGCGTGTGAAGCAGGGAGATTCATGAATGAGTTAAGAGACAGGATAGAGACTCAGAAAGACAAAGATGGCATGTTTCCTCTTTCATGCAGAATCTAGACTTTAAAAAAAGACACGGAAGCTAGAAGAGGGACCACTTGGGGAGAGGATCAAAGAGGAGAACAAGAGAAAGTAGTGAGGGTGAGAATATAATCAGAGTGCCTGACGCATGAAAATGTCACAGTGAAACCCATTGTTCTGTACAATTAATAGACACTAATAGAAAAGACTTCCCGGAAAAGGGGGCAGGAACGGGTTTCCTTTTCATTTTGCACCCCCTGGTACCCTGCGAAATGTGCTGTGTGAGCATATATAATATCCAAAGTCTCAATGTAACATGAGCAGTTATAACCCCTGGTTGGTTGTCCTTCCATGGCATGACCCTGTGGCTCTGCCTCTCTATGGCACGGGGGAGCCACACTGCCCATCACTACTTTGAATTCTTGAGGACAGGAACCATGGTAGCCACCTCTGTACGCCCTGTGTCACCTATGCTCTGCACAGACACACAGACAATAGGTTCAAAGAAAGTTAACTGACTCAAAGCAAACGGGAGGAGAGAGAAGCCAGAGGGGGCCAGGACTCCTTAGGACGACCAGGGTAGGAAATGCTGCTTCCATCTGCTTGAGCTCTGCCAGGTTTGAGCAGAGAGAAATGAGTAATAACAGCAACACATACCGAGTGCTCACCACAGATTTGCTCATTAGGCCAGGGGTTAACTCGTGATAAAGGAAGCAGCTCAGGAGAGGGAGCTGTGCAGAGGTCCCAGAGCCTGAGCTGTTAGCCCCAGGTCCTCCATGCTTCTTGGTGCCTTTCTTCTGCTAAAGCAGAAAGGAGCTTCTGGACTCCAGGGGCCTGGTTTCCTACAAGGCTATGTTTTTTTTTAAGCAGTACAATACATCCGGTGGTGGCGCCCCCAAGTGGCCAGAAAGGCCGAAACATTTCCTATTTCTACACTATTATTTTGTTTGGTGGGGGTGGGGATGGACCCCCCCCAAACACCCCCACCCCACCCCCCCTGTTTCTTTCCCTAGCTTTTGTTTCAGATTAGCGAGGGAGGAGGTAAAGTTTGTCTGACAGGCCTTCAGCTAAAACAGGAAAGGACAGAGGTTTCAGAAGAGGCACGACCTCTGTAGGCGCTGCAGATCGGGAGGATCTTGAGAACGGGGCTTGCAGACAGGAGAGGCAGAAGCATGGAATGGGAGCTGGGTTTACAGTTTGCAAATAATGAATTGTTACTAACGAATAGTGCCTACACAGCCAATGGCACCACGCCGGGCTGTTTACACAACCTGATCTCACTTTAAACATGGTGTTCACCCAGCGAGGTCGAACATTTGCTTTTTGCCGTTGACAAAAACATGTATCAAGGGGCAGAGCAGCTTGCCTGAGAAGGCAAGTGGCTGGAGGCGCTCAGCCTTTAGGGTTGCAGGCCCGCTTAAACCTAGGGCTCCTGTGCAAGTGCATTCTCCCAGAAGCAGGCTTCCGGTTAGCTCCTCTGAGGCCATGGAGAGACACCTGGCAACTACAGCTGGAGCCCCAAGTAGCTAGCTTGTTGGTTGGAAGCCCTGGAGAGCCTGTTTCTCTCCTTGCAGGTTTCCCAGGCTTAGCCCCTCAGGTCCTGGTCAGATGTGGTTATGGCAGCAGCTGGAGTCCAAATGGTATGTATACTTAGGGGCTCCTCTGGATGCCCCAAGGTGAGTCAAACTTCAGTAACCAGTCATTCCCTTAACAAGTGACTGGTTTCCTATTAGACTCTAGGACACTAGCCACACGGCAGTCACAAGGCAAATGACAGCTCTGTTATACGGGGCTAACAGAATAATTATTATAACAATAAAAAACACTTATTTCCACAGTGTTTTCTGTGGGTAAGGCCCTATGCTAAAACCATCTACACACATAATAATCTCCACCACAGCCGGCATGCCTCCCTCTCCCTTGCATGACATGTTAGGACTTCTGGTTTTCAAAGAACACTGTGGCTCAGAAAAGTCAAGAAACTTATCTAAGGCTCCACAGCTGACAGAATGGGACAAGGAAGCCCCACTTCGGTTCCCCAAGACACCGAGGTTTCTTCTAACCACCCCTGTGTTAGCCCCGTGGCAAAACCTTACTGAGTCCCCCATTCCTCAGACAGCTAACATGCCCCTTCCAAAGACAGGGACAGGGGTGGAACCACGCTGTAGGAGAGATCGAGACTGGGAGGGACAGAGGGGAGGCTCCGAGGGCTCACCGATGGTCGTGATGACCGTGATGGCGAAGTAGAAGGAGCCTGCGAAGCGCCACTGGCGGCCGGCACGGTGCGGCTCTGCCTGCAGCGCCAAGCGCTCCAGCTCCCGGTAGTCGTCGGCAGAGAAGCCGTACTTTCTGCGGAACTCGCCGCGCTTCCGGGCCAGCAGCCGCTGCCGATTGCGCTCGGCCTCGGACTCCAGTGCATCGAAGACCGCGGCGCCCACCAGCAGGTAAGACAAGATGCACAGGATGAGCGCGGCCGTGCGCGCGCTCTGCTTCCTCATCGAGTCTCGCGGACTCCGAGTCGCGGTGTCCGTGCACCCCGACGACGGTGCCAGCTCCATCCCTCCGCGCCCGATGTACAGCAGAGGGCAGATTCTGAGCTCTCCCTCTGCTTCCCCGCCCTAGCTCAGGCAGGTCCCTGCAGGGACATCTGGTGCAGAGGGCCGGCCCAGGTGTGCAGAGGGCCCGCCCCCATCCCGAGCTCGCCCTGGACTTGGGTATAGTCACTTTTTCCTTCCTCCCGTCTATCATCTAGGAAATGTTTACCAAGCGCCCTCTTGTGTCCACCATTCTCGGTGAGTGTAGAACGGGTATGACAGCAAGCAGGGAGGGATGATAAATGAGCAAAAAGATAAGATAAGACAGGTGTGATAACGGAGAAAAATAGCGCTTGGAGAGGCGCGTGCCAAGCCATACAGGAGTCGCCAGGGAGACAAAATCCATGCCTTCCTCGCCAAATCAGAAGGGAGGTGACTTCGTGGCTGAAGACAGCAGGGAACAACAGTGGCTGGAGATAGAGAGGTGAATTCTATAAATCCATTTTTAATTTAATTTTTATTTTATATTCGCCTGCAAACCACTTGCACAGGGCTCATGGAAACCAGAAGAAGGTGTAGGTTCTCCGGGAACCTACACAGTTACAGTTTCCGGTTGTGAGCCACCACATAGATGCTGGGAATTGAATCCTGGTCCTCTGGAAGAGCAGCCTGTCCTCTTAACCGCCGAGCCACCTCTCCAAACCCCAGGCTGAATCTTCAGGACAACTGAAAACCTTGGAAAAGCTGTAAACAGAAATTCACACAATTCCACTATAATCTATTTGTTTTTTGTTTTTCAAAAAGGCATTAGAGCCAGGCATAGCAGTCCATACTTGTAAGCACTTGGGAGATAGAGGCAGTAGATCAGGAGTTCAAGTCCTGACTGGGCTACTTCGCACCATGTCTCACCACCACTACACCCCAGAAAAAGCAAGGGACTGCCATGTGGAAAAGAAAAGGTGGCAGAGAGGGAAGACCACTTAAGAGGATGGCATCACCCAGATACATGCTGGGGGAGGGGAGGCTAGCCTAGGGTAACAGATGAAAAGAAACGAGTGGCCCTGGGATACATTAGGGAGCTGGGCACACAGCAAGCCCTGTTGCTTAAGCTCTCTGGCATCAAGAAGCTTCACCAGTCCAAGCCTTAGTCAGTGAACACTTGCAGAAGTGAAACATGCTACTCCTGGGCCTGAGCTCTAAAGCCCTGCACCCCATGCTACCCCACCCCTTCCCCCCACCTGCAAGCTGAACATTGCTCCCAAAGAGCCTAGGAAGGCCGCGTGCTATCAGGACCACCCATTTTAAACCTCTGATCAATTATGCCAGGGTCTGGTTTGAGGGGTCGATCTGTCATGGAAGCTGATACACTCTGAGGACAAGAGTCACTGATGGATTTGTGTGTGGAGGTAAAGGGAAGGACTCAGGATGGCCCCAGGGTATTACCTGAACAGCTAGGTGTTTGGGGACCTTTCATTGACCCCACATCTTAAGGAATACACGCCTGTCTCCAAGCAGCAAAATGGTACCTTTTTCAGAGTCCTACCTGGAGACCTCTATGAGACTTCTGTAGCACCAGTTATCCACTCCTAAAGCTGCTGGGGACAGCTGGCCCTCCCAGGTGTCTGCTGTAGCATGGCATGCATTGCCATGGCCATGACTACTCAGGCCTGTCTCCTCATAGCCTCTCACCCTCGCTTGCTCCAGCCACCCGCTTTCAGTTCTTCCTTGCCTCATTGCAGTTCTTTCCCCATCCCACTCAGCCAACGTCAATTGCAGCCCTGCCAGGGATGCAATACAGGTCTTGATATGCTTTATCACCCCAACTCAGCTGGCTCACTCTGCCATTCTCAGGTGTTTCCTAACTCCCCCCCCCCACCCCCGTGGTCTCCTCTGAGCTCCCTCGGGCCTCTGAGTGCCCACCACTGTCCATTCCTCCATGACAGCATAACCGTACATTCCACATATGCGGCACCCCTAAGGATCAGCCTGTGGTCTCCAACACTCAGACCTGCTTCCCAGCACACACCTAGCAGCAGCTTAAGGTCAAAGGGGAACTTTCACGTGCAAGTTTGGAACAGCTCGCCTCCATTGCTTCTGGAGCTTGGGCTGGTTCGATTTCACCATCAGTAGAATGTTGGGTTTGTTTACTTGTTTGCATTTGTTTTTCAAGACCAAGCTTCTCTATATAATAACTCTGGCTGTCCTGGAACTCATTTTGTAAACCAGGCTGGTATCAAACCCACAGACATCTGCCTGCCTCTGCCTTCCAAGTACTGGGATTAAAGGCGTGGGTCACTACCACTTGGCTTAGAATGTTTTTTAATTTTTTTTTTTCTGTCTCACAAGGAACTGCAGTAGCATCAGAATGGCTCCCAGAGATGCCCATGCCTCATCCTTGGGGTCTGTGAATACATTTGGCTGCCTGCAAATGCTCAAGTTGCTGATGGCATAGGTTGCCGATCAGCTTGCCTCAAATTGGGGGATGATCTCAACCCCCACGTGGGTCCAGCATCACCACAAGGGTCCCTGTACTTGGAGATAAAGGCAGGAGTGACACCCGGAGAGATGGCAGTGTAAGCAACCCCTCAGCCTGATCACTGAAGGAAGGGCCCCAAGATGAGGCACAGCGGGTGACATCCAGGAGCTGGAAGTTGGAAGAAGACTTTGTCTAGAGAAAGGAAACAATGTGGCCTCACAGATACCTTTGTTCTAGCCCATGGGGGTCCATGTCGAGAGAGCCAGAAAGTTCTTCTATTTGAGGGTGGGGGGGCTTGTGAATGTTCTAGTACACATGTGGGGGCCACACGCGTGCACATGTGTGTCCATATGCAGAGAGGCCAGACACCAACTCTGAATGGCACCCGCAGGAGCTATCCACCTGGTTATTCTCTTGGAACAAGATCTCTCATTAGGATTCGAGGCTCTCTAATTCAGGCAACTGGCTAGCCAGCCTGCCCCAAAGGTCCTCTTGACTTGATGTCCTCAGGTGGGACTGCAAGCATATGCCACCCACCTGACTTAAAAATGGGTGCTGGGGCTTAAAGAGAAACACGAATGGAACCCGAGACAGGTTATTAACTGGTAATTTATTGGGAAATATATACTCACACGAGGAATCAGTGACCAGATTTGGCACTCCAAGAAGTCCAGTCTCAGATGCTTCCCAAAGCTGGCTGAACCCTGAGAGAGAGCATGCCTGGCTCTCTCTCGCCCTTTTCTATACTTTCTACAAACCTGTGACCACACCCAAAAGTCAGCAGTGCATGTAATCAGGGTCTCTCCCTACAGGGGCTTGAGCTCAGGTTCTCATGGTTGTAAAGCAAACATTCTACTTCTCCCCTCAGCCCCAGAAGGTAATGTGGACGGGGGTGGGAGGTGGGGGTAAGTCCGCCTGTTTGTGATGATTGACAGCTGCCATAGGGTGGATGGGAAAGCCTGGGAGCAGCATCTGCTTGCTGACAGGATTTGCCTAGGAGCATTTAGCCACTGTGGCTACCACAGTGAGTAGACCCTGACTGGCAGACCTCAGCTCTGGGATGGAATTGGGGCTCAGTGCCTACAGATAAAGATTTGCATGCCCTCACCCCCAGAGAGTCAGGGTGGCAGCCAAATGGTCCAGAAGTGGGTTGCTGACTCGGGCGAGCTAACACAGTTGTGGTGACTTTATTTTTAGTAAGGGCATCAGCAAGTTTGTTTTTCTGGTTCTTCTCTACATTAGGGAGGCAAAAACCTGGGCAGAAGCCTCGGGTGGGGGCAGGGCACCAGGCCCTTCCGCTCAAGAAGGGCTGGAGAAGAGCTGGTGGGGACAAGCAGGCTTGGGGAACAGCTTGGTCGTGGGGCAGGGTGGGGGGAAAGAGATCATGAGGGTGATCCTGTGCACTGCTGAGGTCCACAAAGACTTGAGTTCACATTTCTGCTCCCCCACTTTCTGCTGGCATGTCCACAGAGAGACCATCGCTGCCTCTCTGTGCTTCAGTTTCCCTGCATGAGGATGGACATACCACAGAGGACAGATGCTGTGGTATGCCACTTCCCAGGTACCCCTGAGCAGGCAGTCTTGTTTCCTCCTTTTTCAAAATAGCCAGTCTACAGATGCCAGGAACTCTGTTTTTGGAAACAAAGGAGAGGCTAGAGGCTCTGGAACCCTGTGTGTGCTGGGCACTGCCACAGTGTCACCTCTACAGGTCAGGAAGGAGAAGGTGCCAACCTGCCAAGTCCCTGTGGTCATGGCTGAGACAGGACTTGATCATGGGGCTGCCTGAGTCCAAAGGGCACCATTCTTGTTAGGCAAGGCACTGCCAGCCATATCACTCTTCCATAGGCCCTGGGGACCCTGCTGTCTTCATCTGTGAGATGGCTCCAAGAGCCCTGCTAGATGGAGCTGTCCCACCACTGTGAGTGAGGCCCCTGTGACACAGAGCTGAGGGTGCCTTGTCAGATGTGGGTCTAATTGGGGCCATGGAGGCATTGTCTGGTCCTACCAGGCAGGTGACTCTGCCCTGTGCTTGGCATTTTTGGTTCAGCAGCTCTATTTTAAGCGGAGGTGGGTAGGGTTTGTGTATGTGTGTTTCTCAGCTTGGAAAGTCATCAGCTGCACAGACACCAAAAACAGAACTCCCTAAGGCGCTCCTTTCAGCTCCCCTCCCCCTGTCTACCCTCCTGCTCCCCCTGCTCAGGGACCTGAGGAGACCTAGTGATTTTCCTCTGGCCCCTGGTGCTAGCTCTTTAAAAGCTGCAGCCACTTCCGTGTTGGGGAGAGGAAGCTGAGGCTCAGAATAAGAAAGGGACTCATCTAAGGCAACAGAAAATCAGGTGGTGAACAGGGACCAGAAGGGAGTAGATAGTTATCTGAGATCTTGGGTCCCATCTTAGGCATGTGACTTTACCTCTCTGAGCCTCAGTTTGCCCATTTCTGCCTCAGCAGATGGGTAGGAGTATCTGCCTGGCTGGATTTCTGTGAGGATCAAATAAATGTGCTCAGTTCAGGGCCTCACCAGCAAATGGCAGCAGCCCTCCCTCCACAGGGTCTCCCCTGCCCCTTCGTCTTGTTCATTCTGAAGGGCTTTGTAAGAAATTGATT